TATGAAACTCAAAACCAAAGCCATACTCAACATCTAGTGTTGTCTCTTGCTATTCCATCAAATGGTATAAAATTCAAGAAGAGTTATAATTTAAATTTAAGGTCGAGACAAATGTCATGCAAGACATTATTTAAATGACTTAATGCCAGAGATTTAAAAATTTATTTAAAAACTATAGGAGAGGCCAGGCGCACTGGCTCACACCTGTAATCCCAGCAGTTTCGGAGGCTGAGGCAGGCGGATCATCTGAGGTCAGGAATTCAAGAGCAGCCTGGCCAACATGGTGAAACCCCACTTCTACTAAAAATACAAAAATCACCCGGACTCAGTGGCATGTGCCTGTAATCCCAGCTACTCAGGAGGCTGCACTCCAGCCTGGGTGACACAGCGAGACTCCATCTCAAAAAAACAAACAAACAAACAAAAAAAACTTCCCCAGGAAAAAGGAAATCTAACCAGGAAAATGAAAAATAGTTGTTTGGAAGAATCATTTGTGCTGTACTTAGACCACTTCATAAAAAGGTATACTAAGAGATTCAGTGTGGGAAGACAAAAAAGTTCTGGCGATTAATAGTGATGATGTTTACAAAACAATGTGAACACATTTAATGCCACTTAACTATACAGTAAAAAATGGTCAAAACGGGCTGGGCGCAGTGGCTCATGCCTGTAATCCCAACACTTTGGGAGGCTGGGGTCGGCAGATCACGAGGTCAGGTGTTCGATACCAGTTTGGCCAACATGGTGAAACCCCATCTCTATTAAAAATACAAAAATAAGCCAGGTGTGGTGCATGCCTGTAATCCCAGCTACTCAGGAGGCTCAGGCAGGAGAATCACTTAAACCTGGGAGGCGGAGGCTGCAGTGAGCCGAGATTGTGCCACTGCACTCTAGCCTGGGCAAAGAGCAAGATTCTGTCTGAAGAAAAAAAAAAAGGTCAAAACGGTAAATTTTATTTTATATATATTTTACCACAATAAAGAAGGTATACTAATACACTACTTTTTAAAAAGAATTATAAATAACCATACTCCTTTATTTTAAGCTCAGTGATACTCTCACTTCTTTCTTAAAATTTTTTTTAATTTTAATTTTTTCTTTTTTTTTGAGACAGGTTCTCGCTATGTTGCCCAGGCTAGTCTCATATTCCTGGGCTCAGGCAATTCTCCTACCTCGGCCTCCCAAAGTGCTAAGATTACAGGCGTGGGCCACATGCCTGGCCTCACTTCTTAAAATATTCGTGTTAATAAACATTCTTCAGAAACTCAAGTTATTTTTTAAATTGTTTAACAAATTGCTTGAGCTTCCTCACTACAGGGTCTGCTGAAGAGAGGCACAGGAAGTACCTTTAGATCAGGTACGATGGCTCACGCCTGTAATCCCAGCACTTCGGGAAGCCAAGGTAGGAGGATCTCTTGAGGCCAGGAGTTTGAGACCAGCCTGGGCAACACAGTGACATCCTATCTCTACAGGAAATTTTAAAAAGCTTGGTGTGGTGGTTTGCACCACAGTCCAGCTACTCAGGAGGCTGAGATGGGAGGACTGGTCCAGCCCAGGAGGTCAAAGCTGCAGTGGGCTTATAATGGTGTCACGGTACACCAGCCTCCAGTCTGGGTGACAGAATGAGACCCTGTCTCTAAAAACAACAACAAAAAGTACCCTTAAAAGAAGTAAAAATAGGGCTGAGCGCGGTGGCTCATGCCTGTAATCCCAGCACTTTGGGAGGCAGAGGCTGACAGATCACGAGATCAGGAGATTTGAGAACATCCTGGCTAACATGGTGAAACCCCGTCTCTACTAAAAATACAAAAAAATTAGCCAGGCGTGGTGGCATGCACCTGTAGTTCCAGCTACTCTGGGAGGCTGAGCCAGCAGAATCGCTTGAACCCAGGAAGCAGAGGTTGCAGTGAGCCAAGATCGTGCCATTGTACTCCAGCCTGGGTGACAGCAAGACACCGTCTCAAAAAAAAAAAAAAAAAAAAAGTAAAAATATATTCTTTAGCCAGTGACATTGGCTCTTGTTTACAAAATTATCCAAACATTCTTTCAAGTCTTCCTGATTTTGAAAAATAGAGTCTCAACTGATATCTCTAAAATTTGAGGCTGAGTACAGTGGCTCATGCTTGTAATTTGAACACTTTAGGAGGCTGAGGTGGGAGGATCCCTTGAGGCCAGGAGTGTGAGGCTGTAGTGAGCTATCATGGTGCCACTGCACTCCAGCCTAGGTGACAAAGACCCCATCTCAAAAACAAACAAAACACAGGAAAAAAAAAAAAAAAATTCAAGATTTAGATTACGGATGGCTCCACAAAACAAATCTTGAGGGCAAGGATGTTTTAGTAATTTTACAATTGCCAGCTCTAGGCAGTATGCGACATTTTTGTAGGCACTCAGTGCTTTTAGAATAAATGACCTTATGCTGAGGAATGTGAAAAAAGATGTAAATCGGTGCTGTTTTATTGACAATGGGATATGTCAATGGGATATGAAGAATGAAATGTGCAACACAGGGTTTAGATGAAGTGACAGGAGACTCAGCATATTATGGAAATTCTTATCTTGATTTTGTGTATATAGAAATAAAGATGTATTGGGCTGGGCGCAGTAGCTCACGCCGGTAGTTCAGCACTTTGGGAGGCTGAGGCGGGCGGATCACAAGGTCACGAGTTCAAGATCAGTCTGGCGAACATGGTAAAATCCCGTCTCTACTAAAAATACCAAAATCAGCTGGATGCGGTGGTTCGTGCCAGCTACTCCAGGGGCTGAGGCAGGAGAACTGCTTGAACCCAGAAGGCAAGATCCTTCTTGGGTGCAATGAGCCAAGATCGTGCTACTGCACTGCAGCGTGGCGACAGACTGAGAATCCGTCTCGATAAATAAATAAATAAACAAAGCTGTACCTCTGGTTTTCTATACTTTCCAGGTCAAATCTCACTATCAGATGTTCCTGTTAACTTCAGTTTGACATCTTATCTAAAATGACTCCTAAAATATGTAATAATGATCATTACAATCCCTAAACCTACTGACTCTAACATCACAAAGAATTTTAAGAGGTCAAGGTTAAAAATCTAAAATTGGAAGTCATCAGCTAACAATGACATTTCAAGTCATGAGTTTGGATAAAAATAACCATGGAGATCAACATTCAGCAAAATACAGGCATAGTGGCCAGGCGTGGTGGCTCGCGCCTGTAATCTCAGCACTCTGGGAGGCTGAGGCAGGAAGATCACCTGAGGTCAGGAGTCTGAGACCAGCCTGGGAAACATGGTGAAACTCTGTCTCTACTACAAATACAAAAATTAGCCGGGCTAATTTTGAGTGGCGGACGCCTGTAATCCCGGCCACTCAAAATCGCTCGAATCTGGGAGGTGGAGGTTGCAGTGAGCCTGATGGCGCCACTGCACCCCCGCCTGGGTGACAAGAGTGAAACTCTTGTCTCAAAAAATAAACATACATATACACACACATACACACACACACACACACACACACAGAGGCATAGGATAGTTTGCTACAGTTACTAAACATAAGAATATCCTTTTTTTTTTTTTTTTTTGAGACGGAGTCTCGCTCTGTTGCCCAGGCTGGAGTGCAGTGGCGCAATCTTGTCTTACTGCAACCTTGCCTCCCGGGTTCAAGCGATTCCCCTGCTTCAGCCTCCCGAATAGCTGGGACTACAAGGGCATGCCACCACGACCGGCTAATTTTTTGTATTTTTAGTAGAGGCGGGGTTTCACCGTGTTAGTCAGGATGGTCTCGATCTCCTGACCTCATGATCCGCCCGCCTCGGCCTCCCAAAGTGCTAGGATCGCAGGCATGAGCCAACACACCCAACAAAGAATATCTTATTTTCTTGAGGTTTCATCAGGCTTTACTTTGCCAGAATACATCTATCCCATTTTTCAATAACTAGATCTGGCTACCACATTTCCTCAGTTTTAACGTGTGTGTTTAAAGAGACAGGGTCTTGTGTCGCTCAGGCTGGAGTGAAGCAGCGGGATAAAAGCTCACTGCAGACTTTTTCTGTCTATAAATCTTCAACACTTGGCTGCGCTGCAATCTCTCTGAGCCTGCCCGATTCGCGAATCGTTCTTTGCTCAAACTGTTAAATTTAACTTGGCTAAGGTTTTTCTTTTAACACTTCCTACTAACGCTACAGCCTAAAACCTCTCCGGCAAAGTGCTTTTTCAGGTGGCAACGTACCAATCTCAACAAGTTTGTGGGAGTAATGGGGAAGAGGACTAACTCTCTATTTTCTTTCAGAAAAAGGGTTAGGCACAAGGAGCTCTAAAGGCTTGTCCGAAGTCTGCTGCAAAGTCACAAACCACTCAGAACCAGGCCTTCCCACACCCAATTAATTCCAAGTGGTACTGTATCCGATTACCCCCATTTTCCAAGAGATAGTTTATTTTTTCCCTCTTTTCCCCTCCCCACTACACTTCCCACTCAGCCCTTTTTGAAATACAAAATAACCTCTCAACTCCCCTCACCAGACCAATCTCTACAGAGCAAATTCATCTACGAGATCCAAGACGCAACTCCCAGCTCTGGGGGTAGCCGCAGAAGGGTAAGCCTTTGAAAGCAAGCCCACTTGGTCACTTTTACAACTTAATTTCTGCTCAGAAAGGCGTCAACTACCCGGTAGATAAGGCACCAGCTAGCAATACCTCTTGCTCAATTCCTCTCGTACCTTATAAAATGCCCACTTTTTTGCTCCAAAGGCGAAACTGCATAAATGTGCCGCTTCCTCCAGGCTGGCTTCGGAAATAAAATCCCTCAGGGTTCGCTCTTGTTAATTGGCCTCTACGTGCGGCGAGCAACTAACTCGCTTTTCCGTTAGAGCACTCTGAGCTCTGGTCAATCTACCCCACAGGAGAGCAGAGACCAGCACAGCGACCCCAAGGAAGGCTTTTGGCTTCACCCCGCCTAAGTCCTCAAAGTCAGCGCCTGAAGCATATCCTTGCCCCCACCGCCTGCCTCTGGCTGTGGTCACTTACCCTTACAGGTAGTTCGCATCCACTGTAGCAGCGCCTGGTGGTCGGCAGGAACCACAATGCGAAGCCGCCGCAGCATCACTCCCTGCTTCTCGGTGGGAAATTTTACGTTGTAAGAGCAAGACGCACAGGCACTGGTTGGCATTGCGCATGCGCAAGCAGAGACCGCCCCACCCTCCGCGGAACCCGCCTCCAGTCTGCGAAGCCCTCAGTCCCACCCCTCTACGGAGGTTTCTCTTGCGCCTGGGAATCTCTGCCTACAGTCACACCTCCATCTCTCATCTTTCCGCTCTTAGCTGGGCGTGCTCCACCTAATCACTTTTCTTAAGGTGGATCGTCGAAGCATGACTTCTCCCCCCAAAATCACATCCCTAGACAGCCTCCTATTTTACCACTAACTTTACTACTGCAGTTATTCAGCGGTAGGAAACTGAAACCAAAAGCCAGTCGATGCAAATAAACATCTAAACTGTTTCAAGAGCCGCGCAGAAAGAACGCGGCGGCGTGCCCCGGAAGCGGAAGCGCATCCTCCTCTAGAAAGGCTGGACTACGCGGAGTGGTGACGTTTCCTCATTGGGCGGAAGGTTCGGTGGCACTCGTCGGTTTTCCAGCTGGTGGGAGTTGGCGACGCGGTGCTGGGCGTTGGGACCCTACTTTTAGTTTGGGAAGTTGGGTTGTGGGGTCATACCTGTCTGTCTGCTCCCAGTTTTCTTGGGTTTTTTTCCCCACGGCGTGGGGCCTCGCTAAGGAATTCCCGGCCCCTTAGGGCCACGGCGTTAGCGGTGTCTTTTGCGGTAAGTGTCTGTTTTTTCCCGTCCCACACTACGGAGGGGCAGCTAGGGGCAGCCCCAGCGCTGCTCAGGAGGCGAGAGACTCTGGGGGAAGTCTGCCTCCCTGGCCACCGGCAGTCGTTACCGAGACTGAGGTTCTGTGGCTCCTCTTTATCTCTTGTCTTCCATGAGAAGTTTTATTAAAGATGCACTGTGACCCTTTTGAGTTGTCTGCCGATTTACCTGCGCCAAATAAGATGTAGGCAGTTGCAGGCCTGACTCTTCGTTTTGTTTTCCTGAGCAGGAATTTAGATGAGGCTACTTCCCCGAAAATCTTTCTACTGGTACCAGACTTTTATTTTTCCTGTGTGTGTGTAGTGCTTAACACAATGTCCTGCGTGTAGTAGACGTTCAATAAATGAATATAGAATATCAGTTGAATGCCAATAATGATTTAAGATAGATCGATAGCTCTCTCTGTACCATTTGACGCTGCGACCATCCATTTCTTGAAACTTTCCCCTGCTGCCTTTCTTCATGCTATCCTCACCTGATTGTTTCACATGCTTAATTTAACAAAATATATACTTGTTCTTGGCTACAAGGATACAGAAATGAATAACAGTAACTCTGCTATTGAGAAGCTAACGCACATAAATATACATGATATCAAGATGGGTATTGAGAAACACTAGTTACGTGTAAAGAGCTATGGAAAGCTGTGGGAGAGCTAAAGTGCTCCTTAGGTGCTTTGTGACCCTCAGCCAGTTTCTATTCCAATCTAGCCTCAATATCCTCATCTACCTAGTAGGCTTGTCATGAGGAAGAAAGGAGATTAGGTAAGAGGTTTGGTTTGGTTTGGTTTAGTGCCTAGAACATAGCAATGGTGGTGCCAAAGGGGAGGGAAATATTTTCCTCAAATCCCTTTTCCTCAGTTTTTTTATGTGGCCAACTGGTATTTTCTACCTTAATATAGAGATTATGCAAAAGCATCTTCAGGCCTTCCTTCCAGATTACTCTTCTCACCCGATCTATTTGGAAATTCTGGACCTGCCACAGGATTACAGTAAGATAAACATAAATGTAGCTTTTTAAAAATTGATTTTCTTCTATGTGCCATGGAGAAAGGAAAAGGCTTGAGCATATGCCTCTTATCCCTCTTCCTTTTTTATTTTTCACTCTTCCTTTTTCTTTTCAACTTTAAGGCCAACCATTTCCAAGGAATTCTTTTGATTTTCGTTTTAATTTTCTTCTTGGTAGCATTTTGTGTAAAGATTCTTTTATGGTTGACCTCATAGCCAAAAAGTATCATAAAGAAATGATTCCCGGTGTTTTGAGTTATTTTACCTCTTGTTGTTAATTGACTTTTTTTGGTATACTTTTTTTGCTGTAGAACTATGAATTGGTGCTGTGGTATTTACATAAAATGAGTTTTAAAATTTGAAAAACAATTACTTTAATGAAGAGAAAGTTGCTTGATACTTCTTGATATAATTGAATATAACCTTTGGTGCTAAGTTAAGGCAGAGGTGGTATGATGCATTATTTATCTTTTGAAGTCTTGTGTTAAACTGTTATATTTGATTAGGAGTTAGAACTTCTGTCATGCTGGGACAATTTCTGGAGTACATAGTAGGTGTTTAATGAATGAGTAAATGAATACAAGTGGCAGCTCCATCCCAACCTCTAGTCTGTTGACTAGTTGCACTCTAATTCTCACAAGGAGCACTTTGGAAAATAATTTTCCCTTGACTTAATAATCTCAGTCATTACTAAAAATTGGAAATTAGAAAAAGGTATAAGAAAAATAAAAATTGCCGGGCCCAGTGGTTCACGCCTGTAATCCCAGCACTTTTGGAGGCCGAAGCAGGTGGATCACGAGGTCAGGAGTTCGAGACCAGCCTGGCCAAGATGTTGAAAACACGTCTCTACTAAAAATACAAAAAATTAGCTGGGTGCGGTGGCAGGCGCCTGTAATCCCAGCTACTCGGGAGGCCGAGGCAGGAGAATCGCTTGAATTCAGAGGGCAGAGGTTGCAGTGAGCCGAGATTGTGCACTCCAGCCTGGGCAACAGAGTAAGACTCCGCCTCAAAAGAAGAAAAAAAAAAAGTTGCTAGTTGCTCATCATCCAGATATGGCAAATGTTATTTTAACAGTTTATTAAAATATAATTCTTGGCTGGGCAGGATGGCTCAAACCTGTCCCAACACTTTGGGAGGCCGAGGCGGGTGGATCACAAGGTCAGGAGATTGAGACCATCGTGGCTAACAAGGTGAAACCCCATCTCTACTAAAAATACAAAAATTAGCTGGGCATTGTGGCACTCACCTGTAGTCGCAGCTACACGGGAGGCTGAGGCAAGAGAATCACTTGAACCTGGAAGGCAGTGGTTGCAGTGAGTCGAGATCGTGCCACTATACTCTAGCCTGGGCAACAGAGAGACTCTGTCTCAAAAAAAAAAAAAAAATATATATATATATATATATATGTATATATGCACACACACATAATTCTTACACAGTTCACCTAAAGTGTACAATTGAAAGGATTATAGTGTATTTACAAAGTTGTGCAACCATCACCATAATCAATTTTCATACATTTTTATCATCCCATGAAGAAACCCCATATCTATTAGCAATCATTCCCTATTTTACTCCATCTCCTGAGCCCTAAGCAACTATTAATCCACTTTCTGTCTCTATAGATTTGCGTATTCTGAACAATTCATATGGAACTATAATATGTGGTCTTTTGTGACTGGGTTTTTTCACTTAGTTTCGAAGATTAATCCATGTTGTAGCATGTGTTCAGTACTGCATTTCTTTTTATTGCCTACTGATATCCCGTTGTATTTTATTCTACGTTTTACTTATCCATTCATAAGTTGAAAGATACTTGGGTTGTTTCAACTTTTTGGCTATTATGAGTAATGCTGCTATGACCATTCATGTACAAGTATTTGGATGATATCTCATTAAGATTTTGATTTTCAATTCCCTGATGGCTAATATTTTTTAATACTTGTTTTTAGACTGTGTTTAACAAAATATGGATTGTATTACATATGCAGTTTTGTAGTCTGCCTTTTGCATTTAAGCCTGTTTTTAGCATTAGCAAGCATATTTTACAAAAGAATTTTCCTAATTTTTGCTCCCCTTTTTACTCCCCCCAAAACCATAATTCTTGGGAAACCTTGCTTAAATTAATATACCTAGAAAATACAATCCATGTTAATATATACCAAATTATTATTGGTTGTTACCATGGTATGGGAGCTGGTAGAATTAGGGGAATTATATTTTCTACCTTAAATATTTTTGTAATGTTTCAACTTTTACAATGAACGTATGTCACTTTGTAATCACAGAACATAAAGGTGAATTATTTCCCTGTGGAATAAGTAGATTCAGCATGAAAAACACTTCCTAAATTTGAAAGTCATAATTAACATTGTAAAGTTAGTCATTAAAATATATTTTACTAAGCTGGGCGCAGTGGCTCATGCCTGTAATCCCAGCACTTTGGGAGGCTGAGGCGGGCGGATCACAAGGTCAAGAGATCAAGACCATCCTGGCCAACATGGTGAAACCCCGTCTCTACTAAAAATACAAAAATTAGGTGGGCATGGTGGCATGCGCCTGTAGTCCTAGCTACTTGGGAGGCTGAGGCAGAAGAATTGCTTGAACCTGGGAGGCGGAAGTTGCAGTGAGCTGAGATCACGCCACTGCACTCTTGCCTGGTGACAGAACAAGACTCCATCTCAAAAAAAAAAAAATGTATGTGTTTGTGTGTCTGTGTGTGTGTGTGTGTATATATATATATATATATTTTACTAAATACAATACTTACAGGCCATTTTGTTAACTAAATTTACTTTTCTGTGGTCCTAGACTGTGAACACATATGCTGTGCAGAATTAAGAAAAATATTTAATATTAAAGTCAGAAAAGCAAATACTGGTTATTAGCCTTTGACTACTTTATAGAAAAGTATACGGTTGTCCCTTGGTATCTTGGGAGGATTGATTCCAGGACCAAAATCAGAGGATGCTCAAGTCCCTGATATAAAATGGCATAGTATTTGCTTATAACCTATGCACATCCTTCCATATACTTTAAAGCATCTCTAGATCATTTATAAATACCTAATACAAAATGTAAATAGTTGTTATACCATATTTATATACTTAAGTAAATACTCGTTATACTGTATTGTTTAGGAAATAATGACAAGAAAAGTCTGTACGTGTTCACTACAGGCACAATTTTTTTTCTGAACATTTTGATTTGTGGTTGGTTGAATCCATGGTTGTGAAGCCCCAGATACAGAAGGCTGATTATACTATGTAAAAGTAATTTTTCTAAGTATATTTAGTTCTTGAGGCTAGTATTGATTCAAAAAGTCATTGACAAGGACTTAGAAGAAAGAACTTTTGGCCAGGTGCAGTGGCTCACGCCTCTCTATAATCTGAGCACTTTGGGAGGCTGAGGCGGATGGATCATCTGAGGTCAGGAGTTCAAGACCAGCCTGACCAACATGGTGAAACCCTGTCTCTACTAAAAATACAAAAAATTACCTGGGCGTGGTGGCAGGCGCCTGTAATCCCAGCTGCTCTGGAGGTTGCAGTGAGCTGAGATTGCCCCATTGCACTCCATCCTGGGCAACAAGAGTGAAACTCCATCTCAAAAAATAAAAAAAGAACTTTTTTGTAGGGATTGTGTTGTAATAGGATTTGACATATCTGATCATTAGACTCTGTTTTATAATCTCAAATCAGACAAATCTGACATGAATATTTATAATTGTTTATGTAGAGGAAGGTGGGTTTTTAGACACTGCAGCTTCTGTTGAATAAGAATCTGGCAGTTGTAATTGGCACTAAATTTTAAAGATACCAGGAGTGGCTCCTGGATGATGGGACAGACACTTTAGTAAGATTGTTCAGAAAATGTCCACCTTACCTACACTCCAAATAATACAGAGATAGATACTCTGTATCATTAAAAAAAGAAAGGAAGTTA